ATTTTAAAATAGATTAAAATGAGAGTTTCAGATCCAGCTCTCAGAATTTGATAGATCGATAAGCAAAGCCGTAGAGGGCAAACTCAAGATCACAGATGTCTCTGAAGTCTGTGTCCACAGAGAATACAAGCCCATGCACTTTTTCATATTGATTGTGTAGCTGACCACAAAGAAAATCTTAACACAGCCCGACAAGAAATTTTGCCAATCACAATCACTAATAACCCAATAAAGTTAGCAGTCAACATTAAAATAGGATCATACCCCCGACAAAACTACTGAGAAATTCAGGATGCCACCTTCTAATAAGTCCTTGGAGTAAAACTTATCTACATAATAACTAGAAAGCCATGGAAAGATGAGCATTTCATACCAAGGCCAGTCGGCTACTGTTGTACTCAGAAGAAAATGTTGAGCTTCACGTGCTTTTTTAATTAGAATAAAAGACTAAAAATAAATGAACCAATTAGTTAAAAGTAGAGCAACAAAATAAGCCAAAAGTAAGAAGGAATAATGATAAAGGTTGAAATTAATGACCAACAAACAGAAAAACAGGTAGAAAGGATACAAAAAAATTATTTAGGAATAATTTCCAAATTATGTGACATATATTACATGAGGTATATAGAGAGAGCTTTCCAGCATATCCAGTTAGAATCCCATTCTTTTTTTTTTCAGAAAACTAAAAGTATTTATTTTATAAATCAATACTTTTGCTTTTTAAACTTTTATTTTCTCTTATGAAATACTCCTGTTTTTCCTACCTTAGTAATTCATATCCTTTTTCACCCATTTGCTAGAGTTAAAACGTTAGGTTTCAACACTAATTTCTTCCTTTTCCTCTCCATTTGTGACCAATTCATTCGCAAAGCCTTTCGGATCTGTCTCTTGATATTTCTTTTTTTTCTTCCAGTTTTATTATGTAGAATTATTATAGTTCGACTGCACATGCACATTATATTGCATGTAAATACATATAAACAGTATACTGCACTTTTTTTTAGTTTTCGTATATGTACTAATTATTGTTTCTAAGAGCAGATTGGATCTTTAGCTTTTTAAACTTACATAGTTATCAAAGGAATAAAGCCAACCACAAAATAAGAATCAACAGAATGCGGTAATCCAATCATAAAGGACAGTCAAATGTGCTTACACATACAGAATCCCATTCTTAATATTTGGTAGACATTCTATATTCCAAGGCCTGTAACCTGTCCCTGATTTGGAAAACTTAGTATCATAAAAACGGCAACTCTTCCTCATAAATAAATACATTCGACATTCCAAACAGGATCCTATAGATTGTTTACTCCAACACTGTTTCAAATTATAAAAACAGTCAACAGTCTCTGTACCCATCAACAAGGGAAAGGTTGAACAAATTATTTTACATCTGCACTACAGAGCAGCCAAGGGACAACCTAGTGGGGGTGGCCTCTGCTTTTGTGCTCACAGCACAGGGCTAGGCAACCAGTGGGTACTCACTAATGCTGAATCCAATAGAAACATCCCTTGTCATGGCTTCCTAAAATATCTGTGACCTTTTAGAAGGACACAGGCAAGCTCACATGCGCTATCACCAGCACCGCCACCACACACACCCTTTTCCCCCAGGGATGCCACTGCCCAGGTTTCGTCAGCCCTATGCTCCCACCGCCTCCCTGTTACCAGCCTCTGAGTTTCTCCCTGTCCCTCACTCAGGATTGCCTTCCATCTCACTGTCCTCTAAGCCAGCCTCTCCCCACGCTATAGGTAAGGGCTGGAGGTACCTGACTTCCCTCCCAATTTCAGGAGCAATTCCTCCCCCATTTCTCTGCTAAGGCAGCAGAACCTTCAGAAGCAAAAGCCCCTGGAAGACTAGACCCTAAGAGATCACAGAGCCAGGAATCAGCCACCTGCACACTCCACCCCTAGCTTCAAGGTTCCTCGAAGGAACACACCCAAGATATCAACATCGCCATCGCCAAGCCACCCTCTAACTGATCTCAAACCCCTTTTACAAACATCTTCTCACCAGATTCTGCAAACAACCACCTGAGGTGGGCATTTTACCATCTAGAACACTGGGACTCTGTGTGGCTCTGTGGCTTTACCAGGGTACCCAGCAGGGATGAGCACTCTGTCTTTTGACCCCTTTAATTTCTCATGTCAGGAGCAAAGCCAGTCACTGTTCAGGCTACACTGTCAGGATCCTCCCAAACACAAACCACCACGTGATGTCAGCCCTTTAATTCGTGGGGTACCTGAATCAGGGTCAGCAAGCCTAATGTGGTATGGTTTCAGGAGTTATTAGAAAGCTCCGATGAATTTCAACAACTCTTTTTAAAAATGCAAATTCACAACAAGGAAATTCCAGTTTTTTCATTTCCCCTAAGAGCTTTCCTATCTAGGTATCCCTCAAATTGCTGATGTTCTGCAGGCAGTGGGTTCACAGGTGCTGTACAGAAAAATCCAGAGAAACTGGAGTCGGTCTGCTTGGCTGTGACTGCACAGCACACCTACACACAGAATCTTCGCCAGTGCCCCCCAGGACCAAGTGCCAGGGACTGCTTCAGGCTTGAGGGGGAAGGGATGGCAGCTGAGAAGAGGAAGAGGTGACCCAGGAAGAAGGAGGGGGAGCTCCAGAGAGGCCCTGGGTCCTCTGAACATCAAGCCGTCAGCACAGATTCCATTTCTACACTCACCTCCTGCCCACACTGGCTTCCCCTCACCTCCTCTATTCTGCAGTGAATTCCCAAGAAAAACCCACACTCACCTATTTTTGGCTCAGTTCTCACTCCTACCATCCCAAAATACCCAGCCTCCTCAAATCACATGGCCAAGGCATCACTAATCGATCTTGACCTTCTAGGTACAGCAATCCAGGATGAGCCGTCTACCACCCTGGCCCCGGAAACAGAAAGGAATCAAAGGAAACTGCTACTTGGCCTCTCAGTCAGTTCCTACTCCCACCTCTCAGTCTGGACTCAGAACTTCCATCTCACTCTCCCCACTTTTTTTTTTTTTTCTGCTTATCCAAATTCAGCTTCCAAGGTCTAATATTTTAACAACAGGGAAACTTTACTTCCCTGGCCTGCCTCTTTCACTCAGCTAACATCTGCTGAATACCTACATTAGGCAAGGTCCATCCTGGGTGCTCTGACACCAAAAGATGAATGAGAAACAGCCCCCACCCTCCAGAGACCAAGGACGGGGCAGAGATAAGACGTGTGGCCACACAATTAGTACTGCAAGGCCAGTATTGAGAAGTGGTGTCAAAGGAGTGGAGAAGGAAGACTGTGGGGACTCCCAGCATGTCTTGTCCCTTCCTGCTTGGAGCAGGCACCCTCCCAGGAGGGTGATGAATAACGGGCAGAAATGAGGGTTAGAGGGCAGAACAGCCTGAGCTAAGACAGAGGAACGAGTCAGGAGAGCAGTTCAACTTGGCTGGACCTTCAGCTGCATGAGGGGAGTGATGGTTATTATTATAATTGTATTGTTGACGCTTACAGATGATTACTTCTGCGCCAGGCTCTGCTGAGAGCTTTATGTTTAACCTGGGTGACGTCCACCTGGACACATGGGTATGGTGCACCAGCTACCACCTGTTCGGATCAATGCCCCAGCTGTATGGTTGTTAAGTATAATTAAGTCATTTAATCCTCACAATAACCCTGTGAGGTAGGTATTATTATTACCCCCATCTTAAAGATGAGGCAACCAAGGCTCAGAGACTAATAAGAGGTGAGATTCGGGAGGAATGCAGGAGCCTGAGGTACCAAGGTGCCAGCTAACTACCCCGGCACCTCCCCTGGCCTCTCTCGTCAAGGAACACCTTGTAGCACGGAGAGTGCCTTGAGGGAAGGGGCCTGTTAATCCTCCCGGAATCCCCAACTGACTGAAACAAGGAAGGATTGAAGGAACACAATGAGAGCCAGTCAGGAGGGAGCAAGATAACACACCCTGCCTGTCCAGCTCCTGGACTCAGCCTGGCACTGCCCTGCAAGCTTTTGTTCCTGCTGAGGGGTGGGTGTGACAGAGGCTCACCCCTCACAGGGCCACTCCATGCCCAGGTCAAGGCCGCAGGAAGCAGAGTGAAGGCAGGGAGGGAAGGCAGAATGGCCAGCCACCACAGATATGCTGGGTCTGTCCAAAAACAATCTCCAAAGAACGGTCACTGATTAGAAGGGCAGGGACAGAAATGTGCCTGGCAGACCGTTCCCAGGTTCGGTTGGAACGGGCTGGCTTAGCTTCTCCTCTATAAAGTCCCAAGCTGATGAACTTCACAACTCTTCTTTAAGCCAATAGACAGGTTTCTACCTTTTTAAATCTTCAGGGGGCTGGATTGAGCCCAGGGTGGGTGGTAAAAGTCCAAGAACCCCTCCCTGAAACTGTAGCTCAAGGTTGGAGATGGGGGAAAGGCAGAGCAGGTAAACACACAGCACCTGGGATGGATCCCGCATTCTCTCAAATAAAGTGCCTTACAAATCAACTCCAACACTAACAGCTCCCAGGAATTTGTCTTTCCAGTTCCGGAGGAAAGTTCCTGAAGGCAGCCTCCTCTACTAGCTCGCCTCAGCACAAGCCATTCCCGGAAGGACACACGCAGTCCCGAGAACTCAGCGGAGTCAGAGCGGTCGTGGCCACTGGCCATCCCTGCACTAGCCAGTCGCCTTCTTGTCGCAGGTCCACCCGGTCCGAAGCCGGCCCCAGCCAGCTGAGCCCCTGACCCAGGCACAGCGGCACAATCCCGTGGCCCTCCTGGCCGGAGGTGGGGGGGGGGCAAACTGTGCACCGCCAATCCACAGGGAGGGCAACCCCCCGTCTCTGACAGAGCTGGGCAGCCAGGCCGACGCAGCCCGTCCGGGACAAGCCCGACAGCCGTCCCCTTCCCCCCATGCTGTGCAACCAGGAAGCCGCAGGGCCGGGAGGGGAAGCGGGGCGGCTCGGGGCTTCCTGTAGGGGGCCGCGGAGCCCTGCCACCGCGCCGTCCTGTGCCCCGGGGAACCCTCACTCACCTGGCCACTGGCCACGGGGTGGGGGACCGCGAGGGGCGAACAGGGACGCGGGCAGCAGCAGCTCTCTCTGCAGGCGTCCCGGGCGCGGAATCTCGGACTGGCCTCGAGTTTTGTCCCACTCCCGCTCTCAGGGCGATCGGGACGGCGGGTTCCGCAGCCGTCAGGGCGGGGCGGGAGGAGGAGCCCGCGGGTCGGAAAACTCCCGGGCCCGCGGCCCCAACACGCCCCGGGGCGGAGCCGCGCGCCAGGGGCAGGACGGGATGGGGGCGGGGCTGGCCGGAACCGATGGGCGTGGTCTGAACGCGGTCCCGCCCCCAGGTGAGAGAGGGCTTGAGCCCTCAGGCTGCGAGCTGCCTCTCCCAGCTCCTGGAGGAAGTTACAGGCCTTCTCTCGCCAAAGGACACCACAGGCGTCCTTATGTCATGACAAAAATATGATACAAATCCTGGTTCAGGGATATTTTATGAAATACTTGACCAGTACTCCTCAAAATTGTCAAGGTCATCAAAACCAAGAAAATCTGAGACACACACTTTCACAGCCAAGAGAAGCCTAAAGAGAAAAACTAAAAGTAACATAGTATCCTGGATGGGATGCTGGAAAAAGGACAGTAGATGGAATCCGAACAAAGTATGGAGGTTAATTAATCATAATGCATCAATATTGGCTCATTCATTGTAGCAAAACATCATGCTAATAAAAGATGTTAATAATAGAAAAAACGAGTTTACGAGAACTCGATTTGAAATTTTTCTGTAAATCTAAAACTATTCTAAAAAATTGAGTTTATTTTTTGAAAAAAGTTCACACATATATGAATGTTTATTACACTTAATAAATCTTTATAATATATATTAAATATTTAAGAAAAAATTTTAACTTAGATTCACTCTTCACTCCCCCAGTACACTTTTTAGGAGTGCCTTTCTCACAGTTAGATGTGCTGTTTATAAAACGGTATTGTAGAATTTTTCTGCAAACCATGCCTTTTTACTCACTGTAACTTAAAGGGTCTTTGTATGCAAGGGCACCTGGGTCAACTTGAGTCTTCCTAACCACTGCATAACATGCGTGATCTTGCGAGTCACCATTCTTTACCACTTAGTTCTTTACGAAAGGACATTTAGGTTGTTGCCTGTTTGAGGCTGTTAAAATTTTTTAAATAAAAAACAAAAAGCTGCTGATCCAAGTTGCATTTTTAATAGCGCAAGGAGTGGGACTGGACTGGTCGCGCAGCAGGCCGAAAAGGAGGCAGGGGTGCGGGTGCTGGGCGTAAGCCGTGCCCTCGGGCAGCCATGGCCGCCGCCCAGCTACGAACCCTGGGGGTCCAGTCATCTTCCACAGCCTCTCCAACACCCCCGCCGCCCCCAAGGCGCGGCTCTTTTTCGGGGCTGGACTGCATTTTTTGGAGATGATTGGGCGAATGAGGGTGAAACTCAGGCCAAAGCCTTGGGAGCGGCTCAGAGGAAACCGCCACCCCCCTCCCCGCCTCGCCCCGGAGCAGAAAAAGAGCGTTAGGTCAGAGGCACAAGGAGGCTCTCCCAGGGTTGTTATTACTCTAGTGACGGCGCCCACAGCGGCACAGTAGCAGGAGTAGGAGCACGCGCCGGCTTGAAGCCCCCCTTCCCCCCGGAACTGGAGGCATTCCGCCGGGGCATCCGTTCCCAGGAGCTCTCTCTGGGCTGGAGGTTTCATCCGGGAGGGTTACCCGGCACTCACCCAGCCCCTCTGCCTGACACCCTGCGCCCTTGCCCCGCGGTCCCCTGCTCCCAGGTGGCCGCAAAGGCGAGCTTCTTTGAATGGCTCATTTTTCTTGTGGCTGAGCGAATGTTTCTTTAAATACCATATTTAAAAATAATAAACAAATCATCTAGGGTGAAATTCCTTCTATATGTAACAAACTTTCCTGCCTCAGAACTAAGTCTTGCGAGGCTAGAATGGTGAATAGCAACCACTGTGTTTTTTTATGGCTCAGTGGGAACACCACGTGGGGGGAAAGACTCTAGATTTGGTGTTCAAACACCTGGGTTGTAGCTCCAGTTCTGACACTTGGAAGGGATGCGTTCTCCAAGCCTTGGTTTTCTTGCCTATAAAATTTTCAAAATGATCTATAAAAAGTCGTAAAGTAACCTCTGCTTCATTGTTGCTCAGGGCTGATGCAAACGTCAAATGAAGTAGGGGAAAGTAAGTGCCCTGTGAAAAGGTCACGTGCTGTAGAGCTCTGAGTACTGTAATATAATCTTTCTTAACACTGATTCGTTCAACTGACATGGTTGAATACAGCCAATGTAACCCAGCCCGTGACCCGCCCTGTGCTGGGTGCCACGGAAAGAGGTACAAAAGAAAACCCCCGTGCTCTAAACACAGCTCTCCTCTAATAGAGAAAAAATTAAATCGTAAATACCCCCACACAACAGAGGCTTGTAAAGAGGATCTCTGGGGTAAATGAGAGGCAGGTGAGAGACTGGGATCCAGGAAATCAGCAGCTCCGTCTCTCCAGACTTTGCAAAGAATCTCCCTCTAATTTTTAAAATTATGTCAATTCTTAAAAAAAAATTATCTATTGCTTTAATTCCTGCTTTTACCGTTGTAATTTTGTTCCTTCTACATTCTTTGGGTTTACTCTGGTGTTCTTTTTCTGGTTTCCAGAGTTGAACATTTAGGATCATTTATTTTCAGAATTTTTGTTGTTATTTTCTGATATTTATATAAGACTATAAATCTCCCTCTAAATCTTGCTTTAGCTACATATCACAAGTTTTAATATGCCATGCTTTTGTTATTTCTTAATTATAAATATTTTGGTTTGTTCTATTAGGATTTTATACTTAATTCATGGACTATTTAGAAGTGTGTTTTCCAATTTTTTTTCAAAGTAATGGCTTTTTAAAAAACATTGTATCATAGATTTCTATCCCTAATGCTTGGAGATGAGAAAATGTGCTCTTTTTAGAATTTATTAAGACTTTCTGTTGCCTCATATACAGACCTTGAATGTCCCAGTTTTTGTGAATGTATATTCACTCTTTACATGTGCAAGATTCTATCTCTCCATCCAGGTGGCTACCTGATTATTTAGATTGTTTATATCCTGAGGGTTGGTTTTTTTTTTTCCCCATTGTTCAATCCTTGATTTGTGAGTGATTTAACACTTTCAACTTTTTTTGTAGTTTGTCAATTTCTCCCTATAATTTGGTCTGATTTTACTTTATAATGTTGGGGGCACATTATTAAGTTCCAACCAGTTCATAATTGTTTTATCTTTTGGTGACTTATTTCCTTTTCTTACTCTTCTCCTTAAAAAGATTATTATGCCTGCTATTAACATTGCTATCTAAGACAATATTTGTATAGTATACATTTTCACTCTTACAATATTGTTCTTTAGGTTTTTCTCTTGGAAATGACATACAACTTTTTTTTAACAAGATTTAAAAAATAAATCTGAGTATCTGCTTTTAATTGATGAGTTTAACCAGTTTATACTGATGACTATAGAAATACTGGGACTTATTTCTGCCCCTTTTTTGTTGTTTTATATATGTGTGTGTGTATATATATATATATATATCATCAGGATTGATATTCAACTAGAACAAGCTGATACAATAAACTGAAATTCCTTCATCCTATTTGGTAAATAGCTGTTGCCTTGAGACCTTATAGTGCCCCCACCCCTGACCTTCCCCTGCTCTAAGAACAAAAGGGGCAATTATTGTCACACAGAGGTCCTCCAGGACATTTTCTAAGGCTCTAATTAGTCAGCAAACAGGCCACACAGGCGGCTTAATATTTTATATCATGTGACATGTGCTTTCTCTTTGTTTCTTTTTTCTCTTTTCCTACCTACCTTTGGATTGTTTGAATTTTCTTTAAGTAGGGAAGTGACACTAGAATTACAAAAGTATGAATAAATAACTGCTTACTGGATAACTTTGCTAGTATATCCCTCAAGATACTCGAACTTATAATGTCAAAAAATGAACTAACCATCTTTCCGTCTCAACCTACTTTTCCTCTAGGTTCTGTAGCTCAGGGGAGATACCACTTTCTGCCAAGGCATCCAGGCTAGAGCTCTGGGAGCTACTTGATCTCCCCCGGCCAGAATCACCTTCCAAGTCCTGTGCATTAGGAGCATTCACCACGAACCTGCAGGGCCCCTGGTTTCCATGGACTCCTCATCAGAGAGGCTTAGCAATGTTTCACATGTTTCTGTTTTTGTAGAATCTGCAAAAGTAAGCTATTTCAAATGCACAGTTAAGACAGCAAGATTTCTACTCTGATTTCTCCTTCCTCTCAGTTCTTTTCAAGCCCCTCACGTTGCAGTGCACATAGGCATTTGGGGATCTGGCTAGGGAAGGGTGAGCTGAGGACACATTTAGTTTGGGTTTAGTACGCTATGCTTATGTTGTTTGCTGTCACTTCTATGTGTAGTTACGTTACTGCTAGTCCTCCCAGTGTAGGAATGGCTTTTAGGAACATTGTTCTGCCTCAGCCAGTAGAACCAAAGATGGTATCTCAATAATAAACATGTCCTAGGGGGAGAGTAATAGCTCAAGTGGTAGAGCGCATGCTTAGCATGCATGAAGTCCTGGGTTCAATCCCCAGTACCCTCTCTAAAAATAAATAAAACTAATTGCCTCCCCTACTCCCACCAAAATAAAATAATAAATTTAAAAAATTAACAAAATAAATAAATAAACATGTCCTATAGCATCTGTTCTCAGAAATATGTAGATAGTAGAGGAGAAACAAGATTTTACATTTACAGAGCCAGGAATTGGTCTAAGGAAACTTTTTCAACCACCGTTATGTATGAAGTTTTAAGCATGTAAGTCTATTCTCATCCATGCCTATTTAAAATGAAAGTTCTCAAGGAGTAGGCATAGCTCAGTGGTAGAGCCCACACACAGGGCCCTGGGTTCGATCCCCAGTACCTCCACTAAAAATGAAACAAACAAACAAAGTGAAAGTTCTCTCTAGCGAATATACTTGAAAACATAACCTATACATTATAACATACACATGTACAAAATTCACCTTTTTAACAATTTCAGGGAATATGTTTTATTAGAACTCTTGTGTAATGAAGCACAAACTTTAGGAAAATAAAAATTAAAGTGCAAATTAAAGTGTGCCTGCATGTGAAATTAAATGTATTATGCATCTCACAGCAGATTATGTCTTAGCTTACGTGATATATT